CCAACCAATGTCATCTCTGCTGCTCTTTCTCAGAAATGTGGGGCGAGAGGAACGTTTTGGGGATAAACTTAATTCGTTCACCAACTTGACCATTTTAACTTGATTGCTAATCAGTCACTTGCGGCACACGCTGAGCTGCTTTCCTCGGATTCGTAATTGCTGCCTTCGACTGTTAATTGCAGCGACTGTGCCAGCTGCTCGGGCTCTTCCCCAGTCACCTTGGAGTCGGTGTAAATATTTGATAAGGTGGGAGGTGCAGGTGGCTTCCTCCCTGGCCCGCGGGAGGCTCTGGTCAAGGGTTTGGTGGTGGGGTCCGTGTATCGGGACCATCTTGCTGCTCAGTGCACCCCGCGGGAGGGGGTCTCCGCCGCCGCCTGTGATGGAGTCACCACATGTGACTGGGCAGTTTAGAAAGCACACACTTGTGATTTGTCTCAAAGAACACCTTTTAGCTCATGCTTAATATTAAGGTGTCATCAAGCAATAGGAGGAAGAGATGACACAAATTTAGAAAAATATGGTGGTGATCCGAAAGATGGAGCAAAATGTGAGCTTGCGAGTACTTAACACCACATGTGTGTTAGGTGCCGGTCACATGCCAGGAATAGGTGCTAAGGAATATAATCAACAAAATAGATCGACATCTCTGTCCTCCTGAAATGTGCATTCTAGTCGTTCTTTTAATGGTTTACTGTAGGGTAATTTACAGCCAGAGACATCAAGAGGCATCAGAATCATCTGAAACCTTTAGAAGTTCTTTAAAAAGTGAGAAATTAAATGCTTACATTGGCTCATATGGGTAATGTATTCTATAAGTACTTAATGGTTAATATCCCAAAGGCAAGGCGTCTCAGGTCCCAGCTAATCATTAAAAATTAATACTTTTTATATTAACATGATCTTTATTGAAGAGTGGACTATTTTTGGTGGGAGGCAAAATAATCTGAAAATCAAATCAACATATTTGTAAGTTGATATTGTATTGAACTGAAATCTGATAATGAGGCATCCTAGGAGAAATGAGTTTTTCTCACAATTTTAAGCCTTGTACAGTTAACAGGAGGATTGAGATTGATTTTTTTTTTTTTTTTAGGGTGGGTGCCTTTTCCCCAGCATCACATTGGTCCCTGGATATGTATGCTCCCAAAATAAATTAGGGAAGGAACACTATATCTATGGGCTAATGCTTCTGCTAGTCATTGCAGAGATGAATGAATGAATGAATAAAATTATGTAAGCAAATTTAATGAATAAGTAAACAAATCTGTAAGATTATTTTATTTTTTGTTTTATTTTTATCCTCACCCAACGACATTTTTGCATTTATTTTCAGATAGAGCAGGAGGGAGAGAGGAAGGAAGAGAGAGAGAAACATAGATATGAGAGAAACACAACTGGCTGCCACCCACACGACCCCAACCAGGGCCGGGGACAAACTTCAACCGAGCTGTGTGCCCTTAGCAGGAACCGAACCCTGGACTCTGGTCCGCGGGCCGACGCTCTAACCTTTGAGCCAAACTGGCCAGGGCTCTGTAAGGTTATTTCAGATAGTGCCTCTCCCTGGCCTGCATCCCCAGGTAACCACTGACCTGCTTTTTGTCATGATAAGTAGTTTGCATTTTGTAGCAATTTATAGAAATAGAACTGTTCAGTAGATACCTATCTTTCTTCTGATTTCGCCCTCCCGGTGTGATTATTTTGAGATTCATCGGTATTGTGTGTGTCCCAAGTTCATGTCTTTGTATTGCCTAGTCATCTCCTGTCGTATGGATGGACTAGGTTTTGTTTCTCCAGTCTTTTCTCCTTTAGCAGGTCTTCGGATGTATTATTATTATTATTATTATTATAAACTTTATTTAAAAAACCTTCAGGGCCATATTAAAAAGCAGTATCGCCAGCTGGAACGCTTCATTATTCGTAACCACATGGAAGACAAATATGGAGCTGTGCACTCGAGCCCCTCGGGCTCCGAACCCTCGTGGTGAAACGGGCTCTAGTTCCTTGTTCCGGTGTTTATCCCCGGTCTCTTGTTTGGGGATGAGCTCCCTGTCAGTCCTTTGCCAGAGTAAGTCTGACAGGTGTCGAGACTGGAAGCAGACCAGTGCTTTGTGCCCTGGGGGGTATTCTGGGACATTATCCCTCATCTGGATCACGTGTATTTCAGTAGCTTGCCTTTATTGGAGCTTCACAGTTTAGCAGTTGTGGATGCGGTTAATCTCGCACTTTTTAATTGCACAGGTAAATATATTAGGTTCCTTCTAAGTCCCCAGGAAGTTATGTCGTTGGGTAAGACGGACACTCGATGAGATAAGCCCTGGTCACCCTGGTAGGTGGGCAGCGCCTTCTTTCAGTCTGTGGAGTGGTGATGCCATCGCCTGCTCTCTGCCTCCGTGCAGTGCCCTGGGGAGAGCTTACTGCTCTCGGGTTTCTGAGGATGGTCTGAGAAGACACTTCAGGGTGTGTTGGTGACTGGCCCCTGGGCATCTGGCTGTGCTTAGTTCAGCGTGGAGGAGGAGGTTACAGGTGTCACCTGTGGTTCTCCGTGCCGTTGTCTGGAGAGGAGGCGGCGAGAGGGCAGTGCCCAGGGTGCGGGGCTGTGCTGGCTGAACCCTGTGCGTCTTATGTATGTGGAGTTGGGACAGGCAATTGCTGTGTAGTTCAGGAGATAGGATACAGTCCCCAGAGACATGCCGAGGAAGTCCCTCTACTTTGTGTTCTCATGACACCTGTCCTCAACCTGCCACCTACGTAGCAACTGTCACTGGTCGTGTGTGTCTTCTGGCCAGGCTGGGAGTCTGTGAGTGTCGGAAATACCATGTCTGTGCTGTGCTTTGTACCAGACAGTAAGTGCCTCCTAAATGGAGGATGGAGTGGACCTCTATGCTTATATATATTTTTTATTTCCAGTTATGGAGTTTCCTAATTGTCGCATTAATATTAAGAGCTTTAAGCCCCTAAGAAAGGTAGAAGATAAATCTGAACTGTTAAGATTCTTAACAGTCTACGCTCCTTGATCTTAAGCAAATGCTTGAGGCTTGACCCCCACCCCCTTCTTTCAGTGAATTAAAAGAACGAAGGCAGGTGGTGACTGGACCCTGGGTGGGTAGGAATTCAGAGATGAATAAAATTTGTTCCCGATCTTTGAGACGCTTGCAGTCTAAAGGGAGAGCCAGACTAACAGGCCAGTGACCAGCGCTGTCCGGAACTGACTGGGGCGCTCTGGAAGGCCGGGGTGTGGGAAGGGCGCAGGGCCTCCAGACGTGGCCGAGGAAGTCGCCCACTGACCGAGGCGCGGGACCCGGGAGGACCGAGGCAGGTGGGCTAGAAGCATGGGACAGACCAGGCGTAGTAACGGACCCAGGGCACGTGTCCAGTCTGAACTTTGTGTACCACGTTATTCTTACTGGGTAATCTATAGATTTTTATGGCGCTTATACAAATAAGATTTCCACAGTTTTGGTTTGAATTCATTTTCACTATTTATGGGGAGGTCATAGTTCTTCGGTGGCACACTTACCAAAGTTTGGCAAAACTTACCAAAGTTGCTTCTGACAGCAGCGAGTTTGATTTACTTTATGCTCGAAAGAGTTGTTTTCTGTGGCCGTGGGCTGATCATGTTTGGCCATGTCTGTACCCTTGAAGGCCTGGCTGCCGTCGCGTGGCATTTAATGGGATGAAGCCGGCGATGCGGATTCAGTGCAGAGAGAGGAGAGACTCGTGACCTTAAGTCTTGGTGCTCAATTTTTTTTGTTTGTTTGGAAATTTGAAAACAAGCATATATCACCTTTAAAAAAATGTGTATGTTTAGGGGTGGATAACAAATGCCTGTGGCGTGAGATAAAAGGGCCGACGGGTGTGCAGTGGCAAGTGTCCCCCTTTCCCGGCCTCTACCCTGCAGGACAGCCACTCGCAGTGGACTGGGGTGTCCTTCAGAGGGGTGCCCCGGCGAAACCCAGGGAGGGCATGCTGCCGGGGTCGGGGAGCTCAGGCTTAAATTCGCTAAGATTGTTCATCCTGGCTGCTTCTCCCTCCCCCTGTCCTGCCCGCCCTGTCCCCCCCCCCCACACCCAAATTATTGGGGGCGGTTTCTTTGGAGACACATCAGGTTATTTGTGTGGGTATGTGTTCAAGAAGACGTTTGGAAAGAAACAGCGTGTGAAGTCTTTTCAGTCTAAACTCCTTTCCACTGGGCGGAAAGCTTGCACAAAGGTGACCTGCACCAAGCCAGACTGCGCAGGGCCCTTTCACTGGTCTTCCCAGCCTGCTTTGGTGATGTTTGCGAAATGGTAGCTGTGTTCTGCAGACAGCGTCTTTGCACAGTCCTGCCCGGAGCAGTCAGATTCCGTCCTCAGACATTCTCTGGACGTAGGGGCAGCTGAGGAACAGCCAGGAGCCACCAGGCTTGGACCGAGCCGGGCGACTGTTCTACGCGACCTTGAGTTGGCTGAGCAACATGAGGGAAATAGCACCTTGTTCTAAGGATTAAATAAGGTCATCGGTGAAGTCCCCAGCACGGGATGGATGTCCCTACTGTTGTCGCTGTGTGCTTCTTGCTATCTCTGCCTCTCCAGTATTCATTTGCCTCCCCACCCTTACCCCGCCCACGCAAGAATGACAAAGATAGGGTTCGGTCGGGGGGAGCCTGGCCTCCAAGACCTTCCAGAACAGTTCTTTGAGCAGTCAGGTGTGCGTGTATTCCAGCACTTTCTGCGTAAGGTGACAGAAGGCCTGGCCTCTGACTGGATGTCCTACACACTCTTTTCTCAATGGGGAGTTTACTCCCCTGAGAGTTCCTGCCCCCGGCCCCTGTCCACATCCTCCTTGTCCTTCATCCCCTTGGAGTTGCAAGGCCCAAATACTGACATAGAAGTCTCTGTCAGTGGGCCTGGAATGCACACTGGTTATCTCTTAGCTTATATTAGATAAACACAGGGAGGTAGAGCGACAGAGACCTAGGAGATCAGCTGTGATCAGGACCTCGTGTCCGCTGCCTTGTGACAGTCCCCCTTCATGCTTGTCCTGTGTGATGTTCTTAAATGCTTTCTGTGTAGCCCACAAAGAGACACGTCAGTAACTGAAGCCGAGTTCCTTGTGTACGTATTCGCTTTTCTCATTCGATTCTCAAGTCACCCAGGCTGGTTCTGGGACTGACGCGTCGTTCATTTCCTGGACTCTGCCCGTAGGGCGCTCTATACATTTTTGTCGAATTAGAGATCGTTTGAAAGTTGGTAAACCGTACGAAGCTTTGTAGATGTGAGTAGTTATCAAGAATATTTATTTTTCAGATGTCCTTTTTTGCTCAATTTAAAAAACACTGTTCGATCCCTGTAGGGTAGAAACCGTCCTGAGAACCTGTTGGAAGACATTTTGCTTCTATTGAGTCTGTTTCCAAGAACAGTCTCTCTTAGACAGGTACAACACATTTCAACTGTTTTCCTCCTTGGAGTGCAAGAAGCTCACTCAGGGGCCTGTCTGCAGGCAGAGATCTCTGGACCTGGGCAGCGTCTTCATGAAGATACTGTGCTTTGTTCATAATCGAGGCTCTTGAAACTGATCATTTTTTTGTTGTTGTTATGTGTTTTTTGCAAGTTCTTAATGTCCAATGGATATTTTCTTTTATTTGTAGATTGTTAGACATATTTTCCGTAAAATTTTATTGGAATACTTTATAAGAGAGAGATGGAGATCACTTTCAAGTCTTTAAATGACATCAAAGAATGTTACTCGTGGCCTTTTACTGTATTATTTTTTTAGGGCGAAAGAAATGTTGAGGGAGAGGAAAGCAGTTACCAGCACGTGTCTGATTTCTGCGAGCGAGCGCGTCGAGTTCGAGAGCTCTGAGGGGTGTAAACTCAACACTGGTGGGCTGGCTGCTGCCCGAGGGCCCCTTCCTCTCCTGAGCCAGCCCTCGAGACGCCCAGAGCTGGGCGACTGGTCCCCACTGTGTCATGTGGTGGCTGCGGACCAGCAGCATCCCCTTGACTGCTTGCGGGGATGGGCACCTGCTCCACGTGGAGAGGGTGGGCCCCCCAGACCCTTGGGATCTCGACTGCATCTCAGCCCTGGGATTTGGGGGGAAACTAGGAGTTCTTGTTTTCTCCCCGTTGCAGGGTTGCTTGGGTCATTCAACAAGTCTCTCTTCCCCTCGCACCCAGGACGCCCATGCTTTCCATTCCGCGTTGGACCCTGCGTTCTCCAGGTCCTTTTGGGTGCCCTTCCCAGCCTCCACCCCCTGGGGCCGCCTCTCCGTGCCAGGTGGGCACAGACTGCACCAGCCCATCGCTCTGAACCGGAGGGTGTCGTTCCTGGGAAGCCCCTGGTTTGGGTTTGGTTTCTTTTGCAAAGTGGAAGATCTTAATTTCGTGTGGCGTTTTTGTCCTGAGACTTGAGCCATGACGTCGAATGGAGAGTTCCAGCCCGTTGCTCACCTGACATTTTAATTTCTCTTTGCAGGTGAACTTCGTGGCGTGCCAGCTCTTTGCCCTGCTGGCGGCCGTTTGGTTTCGGACTTACCTCCGTTCAAGCAAAACCAGCTCCTTCGTGAGACATGTCGTCGCGACTCTTTTGGGCCTTTATCTTGCACTGTTTTGCTTTGGATGGTAAGTATGCTTATCCTGTTTAAACGAAGACTTTGTGGCGTGTGTAAAAAGATTTCTGTAGGGTTTTGTGCTTATATGTTTACTTACAAAGTTAAAATATCTTATTGATTTTTAGAGAGAGAGAGAGAAAGAGGGAGAGAGAGGGAGAAGGAGAGAGAGAAACATCAATGCGAGACAGAAAGATCGATCGGCTGCCTCCTACACACCCATACCCAGGATTGAGCCTGCAGCCCAGGCATGTGCCCTGACTGGGAACTGAACCGGTGACCTCTCGGGGCACATGATGACGTCCAACCAACTGAGTCGCACCTGCCAGGGTGAAAGTTTTATAATTTTTATTTTTAATAGATAGAAAAAGAAAGGTGGAGCATGGGCCCTGTGTCGTCAATTTGGGCTCAGAGGGCAATGTACTGTTTATAATTTATGAAGAAGAACAGATAAGAAAAGAGACATTTTGTTCCATCATGAGTAGTTCTTTTCACCTATTTTGCAAATCTTTTATGCCAAGACAGACAAAGCACTTAAAATCGTGTTTTCACTTCTGCGCCAGTGGCTTTAGAGTCTGGGAAAGCCCACTGATAGGGCTCTATTACCATTGTTTACATCCCATCATTAGTGAAAAGGGGTTTTTTATTTGTTTTTGGTGGAAAGAATGATTTGTGATGGAAAGCTCTTAGTTATGACCCTTCAGACGCTCTGTGTTCCCTCAGGGCTGCCCGAGGGTTCACCTTCGGAAATGCCACCTGCCGGTTTGTTCCAGGTGTCCGGTGAGGCAGGAAGTCAGGGAGCGTGCTGTCCCGGGCAGAGCTGCTCGGAGGCGCCTCAGTGGTTCCTTCTGCGTCTCCCTCCCTTGGGCAGCGTCTCCCTTTCTCGCTGCTCTGCTGGTCCAGCCGTGTGTTTAGTCTCGAAGGTGATGAATCTCAGTTTCTCTTTGGAAGACAGTATGTTAGAAGTCTGCAAATCTAATTGATCTTACCTACTTCTATTTGGCCACAGCCTTTAAAAAATTTCTTTTTCTTTATTGATTTTTAGAGTGAAAGGAAGGGGGAGAGAGAGAGAGAGAGAGAGAGAAACCTTGATGAGAGAGAACATCCACTGGGTGCCTCCTGCACGCCCCCCACCCAGGATTCAGTCCACAGCCTGGGCATGTGCCCTGACTGGGAATCCAGTCGGGACCTCCTGTGCATGGGTCGACGCTCAACACTGAGCCACACCAGCCAGGCAGCCTATTTTTTTTTTTTTTTAAGTATTATTGGCAAGTTTCTCTCAACTAAGCATTCACTAACACTCTCACTTATTGATGGACCATCTCTGGTAGCAGTGGAGGTAAGGAGACAGAGCTCGCACTCTGCAGTTAGACAGCCTGGCTCCTCTCTGGGTGCCTGGACCTGGAGCTGTGTGACTTTGGGCATGCTATTCAACCTCTCTGAGCGTCACTCTTCCCACCTGAGGAATGGAACCAGCGGCGCCGGGAGCGCAGGAAGCGACTCCGGCCAAGGCCAGTGTCGTGCGCCATTGCCTTCATCTAGCCGGTGGTCCCGACTGGAAAGTTGTGTGTTTACCCATCTCTTCTTTAGTGTGTATCACACAGTAGTAAAGTCGTGTACTTGTCTGTGTGTCTTTCTCTCTGAACTGGAAGCTCTCTGGGCACCGGGACAGTCCCGTCGATGGTATTCCTGTCGCCCAGACGGTGCCATTCAGAAAGCAGACTTTCGGCAGCGCCAGCTGAACAGTTGAAGAGGTGTTTCTCCACCTGCTCTAAACACGTGCCCCCTTTTTTTTTTTGCTAAAAATACCTTTTAGACATGCCTTTAGTGTGATTTGAAGTTCAAAATAAGTAAAACGTGATGTCTGAGAACAAGCTGACAATTCAGGATGAGGGACTGTTTTGTTTTCCAAGTATGTAGGCCTCTGAAAGGATTGTGCCCCTCAGCCCGTGGGTCCCACCCCGCCTCGCCCCCTGGAGAGTCAGCCGACCGACAGCTTGTCCAGAAAGAAGCAACCTTAGACATGACGTCAGTTAGGGTACCAAGTACAGAACCTTTCCGTCTCCGCAACCCCTGATGACGAGGGTTGGGGGAGATCTTGACTTTCTACTTTTTTTTTATCCTCACCTGAGGACATTTTTTTCCATTTTATGTTCAGATAGAGTGGGAGGGAGAGAGAGGAAGAGAGAGAGAGAAACATCGACGTGAAAGGGGCACATCGAGTGGCTGCCACCTGCATGACCCAACCAGGGCCGGGGACAAACTGCAACCGAGGTACGTACCCTTAGCGGGAACTGAACCCGGGTCTCTCTGGACCGCAGGTCGATGCTCTAACTGCTGAGCCAAACTGGCCAGGGCTTGATTTTTTACTTTACTCAGAACACGAAATAGCTGAGCGCTGACCTTGTGCCAGATAGCCCAGTCCACCCTTGTCACGTGTTGTCTCTTAATCCTGAAGTGGCTACTATGTATTTGTGTGCATGAGGACCAGTGGATGCTGCCAAGGAAGTTAGAAAGGACGTCACCAGGGCTATGAAGGGTGCTTGTCGCGGAGGTCCTGAGACAGGTGAACGCAGAACCCTCTGCACGGGTACACGGCACAGTAACAAAGGCTTGTCCAACCAGAGGCTGGCACCCCAAACGATGCCAGGCATACCATCTGAACCGTGATGCCAGGGCCTTGGGCGCCTACCATGACGTAAGGAACCATGACCGGTTTGACAAATGAAACTCGGCTTCTCTAGTCATACATTCCTCATGTCCCAAGGAAGTTTACCCATAGAAAAGGGAAACTGTCCCCGGGAGTCCTGAGAACTCTTTCTGTCGAAGACACGTATCTGTAACGAGCCCTGCTGTCCATCCACGTGGGCCTTGTGTCCTCAGCATTGTCCCAGTCCCCTGTGGGGCGCTAGTGCCGGCAAGGAATCCGAGGTGGATGGTTCATTTGAAAAGTGTGTGTTTTAACCATGTTTTTTAGCTTCCGTCTGTTTCCGTGCATGCTCGGACATGTTTTTCTGCTTCCCTATGGCCCTGTGGTTTTAGTAGCACTCTGAGCCAATGTGTGAGTGTGTGCGTGGGTGAGTGTGTGTGTGTATGTGCACATGCGCATGCTGCCATGGAACCTGCTTCTTTTTAAATTATTTTATCCTCACCCAAGGACATTTTTTTGCATTTATCTTCAGATAGAGCAGGAGGGAAAGAGGGGGTGAGAGAGAGAGAAACATCGATGTGAGAGAGACATATTGACTCGTCGCCACCCACATGACCCCGGCCAGGGACAAACTGCAAGCGAGGTCCGTGCCCTTAGAGGGAACCGAACCCGGGACTCTCTGGTCTGTGGGCCGACGCTCTAACCTCTGAGCCAGACTGGCCAGGGCGGAACCTACTTCTTCCTTATAACATTTCTAGGGGAAAATTTGTTTAAAAAAAATTTAGGTAGCATTTCCACGTTGGAGATGCCTGTTCCTCCATAATGATTAGGCTTAAAGTAATTTTAACCATAGGTTAAGATCCTTATTCATACCTTAAAATTGTATGCGAAAGCTGGTCATAAGTTAGGCATGCCCCGAAGGGGAAAGGAGACGAAGTGTGTGCTCACACGTGTGTGATCTGGCATCGTCAGGGTGGACGCTGAAACCAGACCCCACGCATGCTTCCCTTGAATTCTGTGAAATGAAGGATGGGTTAGTTCTCTTGTTCAGTGGTGGGTTTGTACATTAGACCATGAGACCTCACTGCGTCATCTCGGCCGGAATGATTTGTGGAAAGAGTGCTGCAAATTGCGGAGCGGCCGGGTTTGTGTAAGGACGCGCATTTGACTTGAGCCAGCCTGTTTTCAGAAGAAAGAGATTTGGGTGGACGTGCTTTTCAGTAAATTCTAATATTTAGTACTCTTGCTGTTTTGTGAGTAACCCCGGAAAAGAGAGAGTACAGAGCTGATATTGGAGAAGTTAGTTCGGGGAAACAAATAACCAATGTTCCGCCAGGACTGTCTGAGGTCCTGATTTATTCCTGCTTTTCATCGTGTGCCCCCGATCCTGGAGGCACAGGGCCCACGGCGCTTCCGTGTCGCTAGGAGACGTGGACTGCTGGGCACCATGTGCTCTCTAGGGTTTGGTCTTATTATTATATTATTATTATTATTTTCATCCTCACCCGAGGACATTTTTGCATTTATCTTTAGATAGAGCAGGAGGGAGACAGGGAGGAAGAAAGAGAGAAACATCGATGTGAGAGAGGCACATTGAGTGGCTGCCACCCACACGACCCCAACTGGGGCCGGGGACAAACTGCAACTGAGGTACGTGCCCTTAGCAGGAACCGAACCCGGGCCTCTGGTCTGCGGGCTGACGCTCTAACCACGGAGCCACACCGGCCGGGCTAATTCATTATTTTTTTAATGTGGGAATGCTCTGTGTTACACTTAGCACTTTGGAGCCACACCTGTTTCAACTGGACATGTGTGGGTGGGAGTCCGTCCCTGCTCTAACACGGCTGTCTTTCACTTTTGATAGGTACGCCTTACACTTTCTCGTGCAGACGGGCATTTCCTACGGTATCATGGTCATAATGGGGGCGGAGAACATGCACAGGTAAGTGTTCGCCTTGTTCACACCCCCGTGCGGGTTTCGCTCCAGTCCAGCTGGATCAAGATAGAACGTTGTTACGTGAAAGTATCCGAAGCGGTGACGGTGTTTTCAAGAACTGTCACACACGCAGACATACAGTCGGGTGCGGCAGTCTGGATTCACCTGCGGCAGGGTCTCTGGGCCTCAGCCGTTGGCCGGGTGTCCGAAGGAGCTGCAGCAGCTGCTCTGGCCTCACCCCCTCCATGCCGGGAGCACCTCCCCTCAGGCCACAGCAACCATGAGCGTCTGGTCTTTCCAGGTGCCCCTCGCGGGGCAGCACTGCCTCCAGTTAAGAACCACTGGCTTAATGCGGGGGGCAGCGCGGACAGGAGTGAGGTGCACAGATTGGAGGGGGATCTCCAAGGGGAATTTGGGAGTCTCCGTGGTTGGTGGGAAGAGTAGGCGGGAGGAAAGGTGTCAGGATGACCCCTGGTTCCGGGCTTGCACAGCTGGATAGATGGGAGCCCCACTTTTTGATGAAGGGAACCCTGGAGGTGAGGAGGGGCTTGGGGACAAGCATTCCAGGTGCATATGTGATCCGCATCTAAAGCAGTGCTCGGCATGCAGTAGACACTCGGCCTGTCTTTGCAGAATAAATGCACGTGGATTTAAAGTGTCCGTGAGACAGGAGGAGCTGGTGGCTGGTGTAGAGTCTGGGTGAGAGAGGGGAATTTGGGAGTGGAGGTACATGAACTGTGCTTGGCTGAACACCCTGGGGCAGAGTGTACCAGCGGGTCCTAGGGTCTGTGATGGCAGAGGTGCTATATTTCTGAATTCCGAAACGCATCTGGCTCCCAGAAGTTCACGGGGGATTCGGGACCTAGGGCGAACTGGCTGGATCGGCAGTGTTGGACTCACGGCCGCCCGTCGGTTTTTCCCGCCGTCTCCTCCGTTCCCACTGACGCCCACTGCACTGGCCCGAGGAAGCCTTACACGCTCCCGGGGTTTCCGTGTTTGTAAGAGGAGCAAACTGTTTGGATGGCATTTCAGGTAGAGCCGTTTGTGGACCATTGTGGCAGGTTCTAAGTGTAACTATGTTTACTGTAGGATTTAAAAAGTTGTATGTTTTTAATCTGGATCATAGAAGGGAAACTTGAGTAGATAGCTAATGACAGAGGATTCATGCACAATTACTGCACAAACAAAAGAAATCTGCTTTTAATGGGGAAGGTCAGGGAATCCATAGTGAGTAAAAGGAAAATGTTTCTTTGTTTGAAGGGCACCGGCGGGCTGGGAAGTTAACTTGTGATTCTTTAGGCCTGCTGCCATTGTGTGCCTCTGTGACTTTAAGGTAATAAAAATGTGAAATTCTGTTGTTGGGTCACACTGGCCACACAGTGCTGAGTAGTCACAGGGGCTGCTGGCCGCTGTGCTGGGCAGTGTGTCTGGGGACGGTCCTGTCTGAGCCAGAACGTGGGGCGTGGAGACAGAATTCATAGGAAACCATGGTGTTGCTCTGTGTAGTGAGTTGGACAGGATTCCGGGGTTGCGCTTTGATGCTGTGGACCAGCATACGGGGGTACGTGATGGCTTGATGCGAATTGCTACTGTTGCCAATAAAGAGGTCAGCAATGAACCTGAAAAGTGTGTATTTTAAGCTCTTAGCTCCCTTCCGTTTCATTTTATACCCACAAGTGCATAAAATGAAATCAACTTCACTTTTTCTTTCTTGGTTTTGCCTTGTTATCCACATATGCTTATCCTTATTACTAATATTAATTTTTGTTTAGGCCTTTACATTAATTTGAAATGTTTTTAATGGCTCAGACCTTAAGAATTTCTCTTACCTGTCCTGGCTGGTTCTCCCAGCATCCCTGTGTGTCGTCGGAAGGGCTGTGTGTAATAGGCCCCGTGCGTATGTCTTAGTCTAACTTTACATGCGTGTGCAGCCTGCTTCTCTGCGCAGCAGGGTTGCAGGCTACAGTGAAGGGACTGGACTTCCTGCGTCCTGACCGGTTTGGGGATTCGGGACTCACTTAGTTTTATGTGCTTTGGGAGATGTTCCCGGCGTGGTGGCTGCGGTCTCGGTGACAAATCCATGTGCAGATTAAAGTGCTCCGAGGAAAGCTTCACTGTTGTCTCTTCCTTTATTTAACACTCGTGCGCGCTGTGTTCTTCTGACCCATATCCAGATAATGTACCTTTAACACAATCTATTCTAGAATTCGGTGCTTTTTCTACCTTATATTTTGATATAAGCGTTGACCTTTTTGAGGAAGAAAACAAAAGGAAAGCCCTGGACAGTTCAGCTCAGCAGTTAGTGTTGGCCCACGGACCAGAGTCCCGGGTTCAATTCCGGCCAAGGGGTTCCGGTTGCCGTTTGTCTCCGGCCCTGCCAGTGGGTGTGTTTCTCTCACATCGATGTTTCTCTCTCTCTCTCTCTCTCTTCCTCCCTTCCTCTCTCTGAAGATAAATGGAAGAATGTCCTTGGGTGAGGATTTAAAAAAAAGGAGACCTTAGGTGATGGAGGTAAGAAGGTGTTTGGAGGTAGAATGTTTGGAGGTCGGGCCACTGCTCCCTCATTGGTACAGGAGTGCGCTCCGAGCAGCAGCCTGAGGCAGGTGAGGCGCAGGTGAGGCGCAGGTGAGGCGCAGGTGAGCTTTCTTCTCTTGGTTTCAACACCATGCCGGGTTCTAGAGCTGCCTCCAAAGAGTATCCTGTGTGCGTGTGTGTGTGTGTGTGTGTGTGTGTTTCAAGGTCACTCGTGGGAAAATGGTTTGGTGACTTATCTTTCTTGCCTGAGATGACTTCCCTGTTCCCAGAGAGCACGGGTCTGGGAAGCAGCTGCCGGAGGCTGTTTCCGGCCGTCGGTGGGAGGGAAGGAGACCGCTTTGCCAGGACTCTCTCTCTAGCTCGGCTGGCTTCTGCGTAAGTCTGGAAAGTGCCCCAGCCCATCTCCTTGTCCTCGGCCCTCCCTTCCCAGTCGTCTGCCCCCAGACTCACTGCCCTGGCGGTTTCTTCGGGCCTGGATGCTGGGTCGTCAGCTCGGAGGCCCTGCAGGGCTGAGGTGAGCTGGGGAGCATGCTGCGCACGTGGAAGGGGTGAGTGCACTGTGTGTAAGCAGAGGGAGCCACGCGCTGGACGCAGGGCCCACCTTCCTGGAGGACAGGCGCGGACTTGCTCCAAGGCTTCGGCCTGCTGAGCGGAGAGCAGGGCTTCCCTGCAGGTGGAGAGCGAGGCGGAGGCGCTGGGCAGGGGGGCATGGCCGGGGGCTGCCAGCTCCGTCCTGGGCCTGATGGCAGTGTGCCGGGCGTTGGGCGCGTGCCGATGGTCCACGGGAGCGCTCGGGGAGGCCTCTGTCTCTCTGGCTGGAGTGTGTTGTGTGTGTGTGATAGTTGCCCTGTCCTGCCCGGTGAGAAACCAATTCATCAAACACGATTTGTGCGCTGAGGGATGTGGGCAGGGCTGAGTTCTCAGGCTTTTAGTGCAGTATTTATCGAGCATAACTATTTACACACACACGTGTGGCGCTTACGGAACCGTGCTGGAGGAGATTCCAGCTGCATCTCGGCGCCACCGCCAGCCCCGTTCCGGTCGGACTACGGAGCAGGGCCCGCCCGCCCCTGGGGCCTTTCAGTGCACTTACTGGGGGATGTGTTGGGGTACCGCCTGCTTCACCCCAACCAGCCCTTCGCCTTGTTCTCCAAGAACATAGTCTCTGTGAACATTTTCCTCTTCTGGAAAAGACTGAGTCTCTCTGCTCGCGGGCTTTGCCCACTCATCCCTCTGTCTGGAGCATCTCCTCCCTTCTGCGTCCCCTCCTCCAGCTCCTTCCGGTCTCCCCCGAGCCTGGGACACGCGATCTGTGACACACTCTCGTGGAGCTTCCTCCCCCTTCGGAGAGGCCTCCCAGTTTGTAATTACAGATACATTCAAGGTTCTGCCTCCCTACACCGCTGTTCTGTGTCATGTTTCCTTTTGCTTCCTGAAGGGGGCGCAGTGCCTAGGAGACTATGTTCTCAGTGAGTGTCTGTTGAATGAATGAATGATACTGGACTCCTGCGGGTCTGCAGCCCTTTCTAAGTCCCCTCCGAGGCCTGCTCTCAGGCCCCTCCCGTTTCCTCTGGGAGGACCCCTGGTCTCCATCTCAGAGTGCCCCGTGGGGGTGTGTGGACAGCCACCGATCACAGACAGGGCTCCAGCCCTGGTTCTCGGCCCTGGGCGTCTGCTGGGCTTTAGTCCATCTCTGTGCTCAGGGAGAGGGGCCTGGGGTGGGGGGTGGGAGATGGGAGGCACACCCACCTGGAACTAGGAAGGCATTTTCCCGGAGAGCTGGCCCCGCGTGGCTGGGTTCTGTGCTGCCGTGACGGGCTAAGTGCGCCATGGCGGACGGGCGTGGGGGCCTCAGCTTCTTGTGTTTTACCTTTTCTGTGGGAAAGCTTGCTTTGAATTCCGAAAAGTCTCAGACTTCTGGAACACAAGGGAACTTGATGATTTCACTGAAGACAGGAGGGCTGTGGTCTGGTTAAAATGGGAAGGGTGACAAGCCTGTTCCTCGTGAGATGTTAAGTCATTTTCTTCATGACTTGGCAAGTACTGCTCAGCAAAACTGACCTGAAGACACAGAGAAGGTGACGGTCACGGAGCAAAGCTGCACGTCCGATGGGCTGCCAAGCTGCTTGCGGGGTCACACCGAGAGAGCTGTGGGGATGGTTTCAGCCTGCCGTCCACGGCGCAGCGGGCCGCCCACTGCAGCAGACGTGCTGTGTGGGCCAGAAACTCAGAGGTCACGGGCATGCTGGTCCTCGCCCTCTGAAACCAGCCGTTCACTTGGGGACATCAAGGCTGTCCGTCACGCAGCAGATACTTGTCATGATGCCGGGACCCAGCAGTGGACGGAGAGAAAGGCAGGCTGTCTCCGCAAGACGCCTCCCACCAGCCTTGCAGCCGCCCTGGGGTTCCTCTTGTGAAGGGCTGTGCTGGGGCCGAGGAAGCAAGACGGGGGAGAGACGAGCTGGGAAGTA